AGATTCTTGCTTGTCTGACATGCAAGGAAATCTGATAGAGAATGTATCATCTTTGGTAATTTAGTGGTGGACAATAAAAATTGAAGGTGCTTCTTCAGAATGCTGTTGTTTGATCATAAAGGGTTGTGTTTGGCTTTTTTTTCCCCATTTTTAGCTGTTAGAGCTGTATGCTTTTCTGACTTTGCCACATCCTGAATTTTAATTTATATGGACAGGTATCTGCACAGCGAGAGTTCTGCCTCAGATTTTTTTTCAGCTAGATTAAATATATGGCCTATTTTAACACAGAAAAGTTCAGGGGAAATAAGTCATAAGGCATATTATCATACAAGAGCAAAGTAAAATGTATTCATATCATTATATATCTTGTGCCTCTGAGCCTTTTGCTATTGTTGTCTCATGATTATTCTTACAATGACAGTAAAAAAAAAAAAAGTAGCTTAAGAAGTGTACCTTATGTTAGCACTTAAAAACACAGCTTTAAAATTTTCTGTATATAAGTGTCAAGTTTTGATGGGTTTAAAAGTCCACAGAAACCATTCTGTGTGCTATAAACAAAAAGAATTGCTTGTTTTTTTCCTCTGTTAAGAGTTGGCTGGCATGATGCAACGGCTTAATGTGTTTTGCATTTACACAGAAAAAAGAAGCAAAGATTACTCTGTTTTTAATTCATTGTCTTTCAATAAGTGTATACTTTCAGGCATATTTGAATGACTTGCTGAATTGTTATGTACGATAGCATGTATTACTAAATTATTATTCATGAAAAAGGCATTAGTGAAAGGAAAGTCTTAACCCCCAGTTGTATTTTTCTGCCTCACAAATTAAATGAAAATGTGATATAAATTGATGGCATGAAATGTCTTGCTCATCTTAAGCCTGATATCCATATCAATCTGCCATTAGTGCATCCTTTTTTCTTTAACCTTATATGTTTATTTTGTTCCTTTTAATAAATCATAAGGATCAATCTTGTGTATTTTATATATGCATACATTATATTTTCTTTTAGTTCTTCCATAATTTAAAACCTGCCACATTTGGGGGTAAATTTTTAGTGGCTGTGCACGTGTGTTTGCTCTGTGAGGAATGCACTGCTGACTAAATATTTCTGCCTTGAAAACAGTCGAGATGTGTTTTAGTTGTTATGAGAATGAACATTGAAATGTGGCTCTGAGAAGCATAAAAAGCTTTTCTGAAATAAGATCATCTGGTATGGGTATCCTTGCAATAAAGTCGTGTGCTTTTTCCTTGCTGTCACTCGAATGACTTGCTGTTGCAGTGTTGTCTTTTAAGTAGATTTCTCGTGGTAATATCGGAGAATCTGCTGTTGAACATGTCATGAGTCATTTGATTAAAATAGTGCTACTTAAGATTTATTCTCATCAAAACCGCTGAGAGTCCTCATCTTGCTGTCAGTCCTTTTCAGATTGCTGCGGAAACAATTTGTACCATGGTAAAGCTCTGTCTTGCAAATTGTTCTAAGGTAACATTGATATAGTTTCTGGAGACTTCCATATAGCTCACATGTTTACCAGGTAATCTTCTCATACAGAGTATTTAAAACCATAGTAGGTACTCTTAATATACTGCTAGCATGCTGCTATGTGAGGTGCATTACTGAATGCTTTTTTTTTATAAAGTCAAATCAAAGATTTAGTGATAAAATCAAAGATTTAGTGTTAAAATCCAGAGGGGTTTGTTTATTTTAGTTTGGTGTAGCCTAATGTTCTCCAGTGCTTTTGATAAAACTGCTGTGTCCTGGGAACCTAAGGAAGCTTCTGTGTAATGCCCTATTCTGGCATTAGTTAAATACCAAGCTCTAGCTGCAAATTGGTGAAAACTGGAGCTGTTCCCTTATGCAGTTGAGAAATGCAAGCTCAGGCCATTCTCCACAGTGGTTTCTGGTGTGCGTTAGTGGATTGCAAAAGCATCTACATTTCTTGAGTAGTAACTCCTTAAAAAGATGGAAGTACTGCTTTTGGAAGCTCTGTTGTGGTGGTGTTTTTTTTTTGTTTGTTTTTTTAAAACCAGTGCCTTCAATAGTAAGGTCTGTTTTTCAGATGCTTAAATAATTTAAGTCAGTACTGGAAAACAATTGAATATCATGAAAATTGTACACAAGCATAATAGTGTCATTGAGGTCACAATATTATGGCCTGTACAACCTCTGTTGAGTTCATTCGTGCCTATATGTTGTGACAGGATTTATGGCCCGTGTCTGTTTTACTATGATAATATTTTACACCTGTGGTTATCCATTTCTTGATGACCAGCTTGAGACTACTCAGGGCAATTTACGTTGATACACTTGAGATCTCATGGCTACTACTGATGTTGGGGAGTGCTACATAATACTGAGCATTGCGGAGGGTGGGAAATGTCCTGGTATCTCCCATTTGTCACTTAAAATAGATAGAGGTTTAACCTATTTTGGCTCTTTTTGCCTTTCTTGACTAGTATATTTTGGAAACTTGTTTTATATCTGTGAAAATCCATATTGAGAATAGTAGGCACTGTGAAGAATGCAAGCATGACCCTGTAGAGTAGAAGTCAGCTAAAAACCCAACTTTTTGAAAGAATTATTTTTGAAAGAATAAGTAATATTACTTTATACAGAATGAAGCAGAACTTTGCTATAGAAAAAAATAATGCATCATTGGGTAACTCAAAACTCTCTATTCTCTGTCAGGGATGGGGAACGATGGGAAAAAGATGGAGTTGCACATAGTTGCTTACTGGGAGTAACTATGTAGGGTTGTTTGAAGATGAACATAATTAATTTGTCTCCCATCAGGACAGCGTACTCTGTCCAGTGCGTTTACAGTTTTGAGATACTTGAGTGTTCCTTTTAGGAATGATGTGTGAAGACAATGGCCATGTAGGGGTTATACAAAGCGCCCAGCCGGTTCACTTCTCTATCTCTGAGACCTGTAAAGAGACCCTAGAAGAACACGAGGATGCATACAATGATGGTTTGCTTAATACTCTTGTAGCAGTCTGTGGTTTGGGGTCTACCTGAGCCAGAGGTTCTGTGTTTAGCAATGGTTTCTATACATTCTTCTCCATCAAGGACTTACATCACCTTTTTGAACTCATCTACATTTTTGATATTTTTGATATTTACAGTCTAATGCAGCAGTAGTTCTGTAGCTTAATTGAATATTTGTGTGTTGTGTAGTTCTTAGTTTTAATACCTGATGATTTTTTTTTACCTTAATTATTTTATTTTTAGTAATAACGAAAAATTGTTCTTTACTTACCTTCATATAGATCTTTGATTTTAAATCTCTGGCATCTTCTTCAGTACTCCACCTTTGTCAGGCTAAAAAAAAAAGTTTATGCATTCATTTCCCTTCATAATTAGAATAACCTTTGTTACGCTTTTCTGGATCTTTTATAGTTCTCCAGCAGTGTTTTTTTTTTTTTTTTTTTTTTTTTTTTTCTTCCTGATAGGGTAGCTGGGGACAGAAGAGAGCAGCACTGTGCTGGCATGCATTACCCGAGATAGGAGCACACAAAGCTTTCATACCACAGCAGAAGGGATTTTTGGTTTTGTGTTGAAGGTCTGAGGGACTGAGCATGTGTCATATTTCCACTTTAATACTTTCCTTGAAGTTTTCACTTTCTATTTGCTTTTTGGATTACCTCTAGCCACTGGGGGTGTTTTCTTACAGAACTGTCTATAGTCGTGCCAGATATTTTTTTTTCTCAGTTATAACAGTATAAAAATTAATCATTATCTTACCACATACGGCTTACTCATTTACTTCCTTGGAATTTTATCTGTCACGTTATTATTCAGCTACTTAATATTTTGATATGGTTTTTGCAATTTTCAGCAGTCAGCTTTGATTTCTGTTGTAGTAGATAAGTTACTAACTTCCGCACTGTAGTTCATATATGACTGAATCACGCAGGACAAACTCTTGTGGTGTCCTCCTTTCATCTTAAAAGCTGAATGTTTGGTTTTAACCTTTGATTTTTGTCTGCTAATCTACTCTTTGAACCAATGATTTTTTTATTTTTTTTTAGTATTTTCAAGACCCTTCTGTAAGGGAACTTGTTATGTACTTTGGAAATCTAGATAAGTAAAGCATATCATTGTTCCTTCCTCGTGATTCCTGTAAGCAGTTATTAATAGAAGTAATTATAACCATCTACAAAAGTAGCACTGAGTCTTTCTCATGTTACCTTGTTCATATATGTGCTAAATCTAATTGTTACTCTTCCAACAGCTTTGTCTAATAGAGATGTCATTTATTGGCCTATAGGAGGCTTTTCATTTAAAAAAAAAAAAAAAGTCCATGTGTCTTATTATTCTACCGTGGAGCATATTTTTAACAAAATATGTCAATAGAACACTTACATTCATTACCTAAAAAGTTTGGAATGCCTGTGTTTTGGTCTTGGTGACTTTTTTTTTCCTGTTTGCGTTTAGAAAACTTCTTTTTTGAAGAGTTCCTTCTAGCTTATTCTCCCTAAGCCCAGTACAGGAGCCTCAGAATGTCCCTGTGTTCTAAATACTGGTGGGAAGAATTCATTGGATTTTCAATGGATTTTTGGAACCGCTGTAAAGCCAGTAATGAAAGCTGCTAAGTTGCACAAAAATGGGCATAATGGGGGGGTGGGGGCAGAAACAGCATTGCCCTTACCCCTGTACTCCTGCCAAATTCTATGTGTGGTATTTTTAGGTTATTGCAAAGGAAGAAGTCATTTTAACTTTTATGTTAAATACTGAAACTCTGTTTCTTCTACTCTTGCTGCATTCACTTGCTGGGTTGATTTGGTTGAAATTTATTTTGAAAAGGTCAGTCTGAAACAAAATCCTGAAAGATTTTAACCTGAATAACTACTATGTGGTGTAACAAAGAATAATTGAGTATAAGGGCCAAATGAGAATTTCTGTGTAATGTTAATAATCAGCAGTAGTATCATTGTCAGCCAGACCTGTATTATGAGTAAATAACTGTTTTTCTCCCCACTCTTTCTTTCTTAAGCCTATGGAAAAGTGTTCCTAGTAAGGAAAGTAAGTGGCCACGATGCTGGAAAACTGTATGCCATGAAAGTACTGAAGAAAGCAACGATAGTTCAAAAAGCCAAAACAACTGAGCACACAAGGACAGAACGACAAGTATTGGAGCACATTAGGCAATCACCATTTTTGGTCACATTACATTATGCCTTCCAAACAGATACAAAGCTTCATCTCATTTTAGGTAAGTAGTTTTCAGGCTTCAACTCTTATATTAATACAAAATAAAATCTAAAAAATAAATATATAATTCATCCTTTTATCTCCTTAATGTTTTGTAGTTTTGTTTCATGTGGTCTTAAGTACTGTGTGTTTGGAGATTGTATGGGAGAATATAGGAAGTAAAATACAGTTCATCTTCAACAGTGCCTTTGTGGTTTTCCTGTTTGAACCTCAGTGTGCTACTCTGACTTGGGGAAAAAAATATTATACTTCTTTCTTTTGCATGCAAGTCACTGATATGGTCATAACTGCCTAAAGCAGAGGTGGAAAATTACTAAAAATAAATTTTCTTGAACTTACCTAGAAGATGAAATCTTTATTTGCAGCTTTTTTTTTTTTAACTGTTATTATATACTGCATTAGCTTTCTGCAGAATTTCAGACTAATTGCTACTATAATTGAAACAATTTTCAAGGGCATTAAAATGATTCCCTTACTTTCTCTGTATGCTGTCTTTGCTTGTGTGGCACAAAGGTTGTTGGTAAGGTGGAGTGACCAAAAGTAATTTGATTTCTGGGATCAGTTGGTAGAAAATAAGAAAAAAATATGCTGTCAGGTACATAGCTTAATTTTTTGGGTGATCCTGCTTGGAGCCAGTTTTACTTGATGGTCCTTGTGGATCCCTTCCAACTTGGGATAGTAAAGAAATACTTGAGCAGACATATAGCACATTTAACTCTGAAGATGACTTACACCAATCACATTAAAAATAAAATGTATTTTGAAATGTTGCTATCTGTTTGAGAGGACAGGGCTGCCTGCTACTACGCTGACCAATTGGTAGGTTCTAGTATCACTGAACTGCTGCAAGCTGAAAGATTCTCTCAGTCAGGCCTTTCTGCCTGAACAGATGCCCTCATAGTAGGATGGGCAAGGCCTGTTAAAGGTGATTGTGCCTTCATTTTTATGTCTGGGCAAATTCTTTAAGACACTGGAATGTACAGGTTGTTGGTCGGATTTCCTGCTCTAAAATGATGCTGGAAGTACATATACATGTATCGTGGAGCCTTGGTTTTAATGAGTTCTTATTGTTCTTCAGCCCTAATCTGTTACTTGCTTTTGTGCATTACTTTATTTTTGTAAATTTTTCTTGTAATTCTTCTTGTGACATTCGTAAATATCCATTTACACAAGATGCCTGATAATGAACTATTGTATAGCAAGGCTTATTAGAACTTTCTGCGTTCTACTTCTGTCCGTGCCATTTTGCTTTCCATATTTATGTGAAGAACCAGATCAATTTCTACAGCATTTGCAAGCTTGGCATGAGACTGATAAGGAACTTTCTCTGAGTTTTCAACTAAGATAGAACACCTTCCACCCCCTGCACCCCCCTTTTGAGACAGCACTGTTTTAGGGAAAGAGGCTGACGTTAAGAAGTTATTTCTTCTTCTGTTTTATTCCCCAGTTTGCACTGCCTTTTAGAGGCCTGGCTTTCTTGGGAGGGTCAAGGATTTTTCCTCATAATGAGGAGTATGTACTTAGAGAGCTGGAAAAAGGTAATAAATGCAGCTTTAAACCTCGCTGCTTCAGGAAGCTTTTGCTGCCAAAACTTTGTTAAACCATTTCTCTCTTGAGTATCGAGACTTCCATGTTTCATTTTTTTTTTTTTTTGTAAGGTTTATTTGAAGAAGTAAATGGTCCTTTAATTTTCTGGTTACTGTTAACTCATAACTTCCACTTGGTGAACCTTAATTAACAAGCTGATTTAAACTTTGAATTAATAATTTTTATTAATGTTATATGAATCTTATCCCACTGATTGTCAATTCGTAGGAAGGTGTTCTATATATGTGCCTTAGTTTCATATATTACCATGGGATAAAACGTGCCTGAGAAGCTCAAGATTAAGGGAAGTATTCACTAGATTCCTTTTGAAAATGTGATTTCAAAAGTGTAAGGGTTTTCACAAATACCTTTGAAAAGGATGCTAAAGAATATATAAAATAGTATCAAAGACTTGAAGATGCTGAAGAGGTGAAACAGAAATTAGAAATACATTGATAGCTTTGTGATTCCTTGATGTTAACCTTTTAATAATGAGGGTTTCATCTTTGATTGTTGTGGTATTCAATCTATAGACGAATAATTTGGAATAAAAAAATAGATGAAGCATGAGACAAATGAGAATGCATTATAAGCATCATAGTAATAATCCAGAAGTTTTTGGTTAGAATGTAGTTTAGATCATAGAATCACAGAAAGGTTCGAGTTAGAAGGGACCTTAGAGTCCATGTAATTCCACCCCCCTGTCCTGGGCAGGAACACCTCCTACCAGACCAGGTTGCTCAAAGCTCCATCCAGCCTGGCCTTGAGCAGTTGCAGGGATGGGGCATCCACAACTTCCCTGGGCATAAAGAATTTCTTCCTTATTACTATTCTAAATCTAACCTTTTTTAGTTTAAAGTCATTATGCCTTGTCCTGTCACTATACTTCATGACAGAGTCCCTCCCCAGCTTTCCTGTAGCCCCCTTTAGGTCCTGTAAAGCTGCTATAAGGTCTCGCCTGAACCTTCTCTTCTCCAGGCTGAACAACCCCAGCTCCCTCAGCCTGTCTTCATAGGAGAGATGTTCCAGCCCTGCAGTCATCCTCACATCCCTCCTCTGGACTCACTCCAAGAGGTCCATGTCCTTCTTGTGCTGGGGGCCCCAGAGCTGAATGCAGTACTCCAGGTGGGATCTCAGAAGAGCAGAGCTGAGGGGGAGAATCACTGCTCTTGCCTTGCTGGCTTTACTTCTTTGGATGCAGCTCAGGATATGGCTGGCTTTCTGAGAGCACACATTGCTGGCTCACACTGAGATTCTCATCCACCAGCATCCCCAGGTCTTTCTCTTCAGAGCTGCTCTCAATCCAATATCAATCGGATTCCATTAGAAAAAATTATGTATTTCATATACAACATGAGTATGTATGTATGTATTACATACGTATTTCACATATATATATGATATTGATAAGTTTCTCTGTGCGTTTATTTTTGGATAACTATAGGTGACAAGAATAATTACAAGACCCGAAGAACCTTTTTTACGAAGGGAAAATTAAAAGGTTGAGATTATATCCTCATTAGAGTCAAAGAGGAGGGAGCCCAGTAGCTGTGAAGAACATTACATAATATATAGTACAGTGGGCATTTACTTTCCACCCTAATACAACATCAAGGTGAAGTTTAAAGTGAAAAAAAATCAAAGCTGATGTATAACTAAGTTTTTTTTTTTTGTTCTTTGTGTTTGCTTTTCCACAAGTTTACATGAGCCCATTTGCAGAGCAACAACTGTTCCAGAAATGTCCTTTTCTTTCCTTTTTTAGCAGAAAGTGGGAATAAAGTTGTGTAGTACGTGGTGTTTTTTTTTTTATCTGCTCTTTTTAATCATTCTTTTCAACAGAGAAACAAACAAAAAACAACAATTGTGGCCTAAGGTTACTTTATAATTCATTTAGGCTTTGTGCCCTCCCTGACAAACAGCAACAAGAACAACAAAATGGTTTGCTGCATGTTTTTTTGTCTGACTATGTAAATCCTTGTAAATCACTTCTTTGCTTCTTTGATGTAGTGTTGGAATTCTGCGTTTCAGAATGGCTTCTGAATTTTCAGGGAAACAGCATCTGCCTGTATTCTACCCAGCTGGGCTTGGTGAATGAGCAATGTGTCATTTCAGGTTCAAGAGGTTTTAGAGTTGGAGATTTGGTGCAATACTTAATACAAGTCCTTGTGCTGCCAGATTACATAGCAGCAGTAATTTAATCTGAATCAAGTGCAGACATGCGGTTGCATTTGTCTGTTTTCCAGAATACAGAATTTGGAGCCAATTCCAGTTTTTAGATTGACTTTAAGCTAGGATTGAAAGAATGAGGAATTTTTCTTCATAAGAGTACCAGTTCTAAACAGAACTTGCCACATGGGGTTAAGTTATTACTACTTTTAATTGTAAAATGTGGGTTATTTATGATTTAGTATCGATGTTTTCGTATACTTACTAACGTAGATGAATCTTCCTTACTTTCCTCTTTGATTCTGCTATTATTCCTTTCTGAATGGAGAGCTGTGAAAAGAGTAGAGAGATCAGAGTATGTGTGACTTGTATATACGCTTTTTGCTTCAAAGAATTTTTGGTATAATACATGGATCTGTAGAAACTGTGTTCAAGAAAATATTGATAAGATGTTGTGGAGTACGTTCCCTGCTTTGTGTATTGTAAACCTCAAATGCAAATGAACTACTTTGTTGTATGTTGCCAGTGTATCTAAAATGTTGGTGTTGCAGTGGAACTCTTGTATTAACTATTTTTTCCCCCTTCCTGACTGGGAAAACAACCCTGTTGTGTCCTGCAAAGAATCAAAGTGTGGTTTTCATGTGGGGGAATGTGTGTGGAAATAACCTCCTTCAGGAAGTTTTGCCATATAAGTTCCACTTGCAAAGGGTTAAACTTGTAATTGCCCATAGGTGATTATTTCACTTAGTGTCTGTTCTTTTGAATAATCTGTTTTAATGTCAATCTGGCTTGTTGCTCTTAATTATTTCACAAGGGTGTACAAATCCTCACTTCATAGATACCATTTGTGTGCTGTTCTTTTTATTTTTCTGATTAAGTGAAAGACTGATTTTGCAAAAAATGTTAATCTTTCATAATTTATGGATATTTATGGCTCACTTTATGATTTTGCTGCTTATTTAAATTGGTAATGCTCTTCCATCACTCCACTAATAAGGAAACTGAGTATTGTACAATGGGATGAAATATTACAGAGTTGCAATAAAGTAAAAGCATCTGATCCCAGAACATCTTATTAAATAACTTACTGCAATATTAATGGTTACTTTGTAAGAAAATTAAGTTGTCAGAAAGTGAAATTACAAGGTTCTTTGTTCTACTTTTTAGACTATATAAATGGAGGAGAACTGTTTACTCACCTTTCACAAAGAGAGAGATTCTCAGAAAATGAGGTGCAAATTTATATTGGGGAAATAGTTTTGGCTCTTGAACATCTACACAAGGTAAAGTAACTTTATCCTTTCAGTGGATGCTACAAGCTGATTTTGTGGAACTATCAACTGTATTCACATCATATAAAGTTAGTAATATTTTTTAGGTAGTCTTAAATTCAGAGTAACTTTACCTACCACTGGGACATATTAGTTGTACAATTAGAAATACTTTCCAATGAAATGTCTATTTATGTGTACCAAAATAAGGCTACATGTTTTTTTCTGCAGTGCAAAGAGTATTATTGACACATGATAGTTATTTTTTGGTAATCTCTGTCAAAGGGTAGAGCATGTCAGTAAACCTAATTTGTAGTCAACATGAAGAATGTTTGGGTTGCACTGTTGTTCAGTTCTCCTTGTTTTGTGTATAATGAAACAGCAGAGTTTTGAAATTTTGGCATGACTGTAGGCAAGCAAATTGCTTTCAGAGGCAAGTATTGAGTCACTTTTAGATGCAAAGGTTATATTATGTCCTATGGCATTACCTGGTGTATTAATTGCTGAGAATTCACAAGCCTCTCAAAGGTATTTCTTCAAAGACATTTTAAAATTCTCTTTTTTGAGGGCAGTCTCTGAAGTGTCAGTTGAAATAATGGGAATTTTGTTAGCTTTACATTTAAATGCATTCTGTGTCTCCTTGATATGGTTACAGTGACTTGGCAATGCTTTTCTTTTATTCTGTCTGCAGTTGGGAATTATATATCGGGATATAAAACTTGAGAATATTCTCCTCGATTCTGATGGCCACGTGGTGCTGACGGACTTCGGTCTGAGTAAGGAGTTTCTTACTGATGAGGTGAGTATTTGAATCTCCACTAACGGTGGACAGAATCCAACAAGACCAAAAAATCAGATTCTGTCTCATGGAAATATAAAGGCATTTGAGAGAGCAGAAAAAATGTCTTCTCAACTTTTGCTTTGTGGAACAAAATCTAGTAGTAATTGTTTACAGGGTTTCGAGTTCTCAGTTCAGTTGGTCTTTGGCCTGCCAGTGTTGCTAGACATTTTTGTCCGTTCTAGTTTTCCCTGAAATGCCTTCACACACCCTTGTGCTGCCCTTTATGTGCAAAAGAGGAGATACACAGGAGTCAGAAAAGCCACTTACATTATCATTTTCAGATGCCTTTTTAAAACTCTCTGCTAATACTTTGCAGTGACTAGGCAAATGGTATGCTATGACTCTTATTTATGCTAATAACAATTTTTGTATTATTATCTTGTCTTTTTCTCCTGTATTTGTGTCACTTCTGATAAGCTTAATTGCAAGCTTTTAGGATAAAAGTTTCTCTCATTAAATAAGTGAATAGTACCTAACATAACGATTACTGACTGTTAACGTTAGTTGTCAGTTATTTCTAAGGTAAGGTTTTATATCCAGATATGCTTTTAGATTTCAGAGAGTCAAAGAAAGCTGTAGAGGATTTTGTTTCTGGAGAATTTAAAAAGTAGGTTTTTTTTTGCTTTCACTTTAGGGATCAGAGGGATTTGATATATGGGACTGGACTGCAGGTTTGAATCTGTTAGAAGCAACAGAGGTTTTCTAAAAATAGGTAACTGGTAGTTTCCTCTGGAATATTTGCATTTCAAATGGAACCTGGTAGGATTCAGGTGGTTCTTAACCATTTTAAGAAACAGGAAATGTTACTTATTAGTGTGTAACTAATTAAAATATATACAAAGTGTCAATATATTCCTCTTAAACTATAGAGTAAAACAAAGAGGAAGATCAAGTAGCATGACAAAGGATTTGCTACAGTATGTCAGACCAGTGTACTTTCAACAAGGAAATACGAAGAGATGTGGTTTTCAGCAGAAAAGAAGGACAATAAAAGGTGTGGCTAGGGAGAAGAGCAGGGCCTGCTCAGAGTTATAAGAAAAGCTACAGGAGGCATAGGAGAAAAAATACTCTGGGTTATATTACTGTACATGTGGGGGAGAATAGCAACTGTCCTCCAGGCCTTGAGTAAAAGTTGAATGAGGCAGAAATCTTCCCTAGGATAATAATATGTCATAATAAATCAGGACCTTCTTTAAGTCTCAAAACAAATGGCTTTAGGAAATATACTTGTTTCTCATCTGTGCTCATCTTCAGGATGTTCTTTATAAGCAGGGCAAGAAAAAGTGAGGACTTGCATAAGCATCAGAGATACCTGTCTGCTTTTCCTCACATTTGGAACCTGATTCTTCTTCCTCCAGTCATCATTAAAATAATGCAGTCTTGCTGCTTGGTCATCTAATGTTGCTTTCTCTGACATATACCACAAAATCTGTTCATTTACCCATACTTTTTTTCCTCATTCACCTTAACATTTTATTTTCATCTTCCCTGTCAAAAAAGCTAAACATTTCTAGTCTCTTTTAAGGAGAAACTTACCTACAGTTTCATTGTTTTCTTTCAAAAACCGAAGAAATCGCGCGCACTTCACTAGTTTTCACATTACCATCTTAAGTTAGATACTGAACTTGAACATGATTAGACTGTCCCATTTACACATAGAAACTGACATTTCATGTTGTACTCTGTACACAATTTAGCTACCATTAGAACAATTAAAATTCACATTACAAAAGTTACCTGTTAATTTACATTTCTGAACTGATGTGCTTACAAGCAGTAATTTTTGCCTACATAATTGCATGGCTTTATATCTGTTTTCATGCTATTTGGGTAGCGCTTTTAAATAAAATTAAACAACTTCACAAGTTGGATAAGAAAAGAGTATGTTCTTGCAACTGTATTGCACATGCTAGCATGTTCTCCTTTATCCCCTTCTTCATGCTTCCCCAATCCACCCTTCTTCTTGCAAGTTCTCTACTACATCTAATAGATGTGCTTGCGTAAGTCTTCTTGGGACCTCTAAAACATGTATATTCTTAAACTTTGCTTACGCATTTTACAGTTTTTCTTATAAATAAATAAATAAATAAATTCTTATAAGAGGGTAATAGCAGTCCATTTTTTTCCTTTGCTTTATTTTTTTAAAAAGTCCATACATGTTCATCTGTGTACAAGAAGAAGAAATAATCTGACCCGAATAAAGTAGTTGAATAAAAATGAATTTTCACGTAGGATAACTCAGTATCACAGGGTATTTAGGTATGAAATGTTTTCTGATATGAACTGTACGTAATATTTCACAAAGACCAAGAATTTGACTAGCCTAACCAGACAATGGGATTAGGTAAGGGCTCGAGAAATTGAAATGATTAGTCCCTTTTAAGTATGCAGTAGCATTTGCTGTCTTAGTCTCATGGTGAATTAAGGTTGATTTTAACTCTCACCTGAATTTCAGTGAAAAATGGGGAAAAGAGACTCTTTAGCCTTACCTTTTTGTGCATCTCAGTTAAGTCCATATCTAATTGGGACGTAGAATTTATTTGCAGATGGTGTTAGAATAAGTAATTTATCTTGGAAAAAAATAATAATAGGACTAACAGATTTTGAACAGTTTTTCATTGCACACATGTTATCATGTTGGTGTTCCTATTTTTTTTGGAACCATTAAAAAAATTTTTTTAAAAAGCAAAAACACAATTTCTTATTTTTGCCATCTTATTTCTTGTGTAGTATCTTCATCTTTTGCATTTGTGGCTTAGTCTTCTTTGAATCTCGTAGTTCTGCTTGTATGCTGGTGTTATTTTGATTTGGTTAATACTAGTTTAGCTTAGTCATCAGGTTTGGTTTTCATTTTAATATTTATTGATGAAGTGCTAATTCATTTTCTAATAGTTTCTTTTTCTGACAGCTTTGGTTCTGTAACTATATGAAATACAACAGTTTAGAATGGTATATATGGAGATCTTTGTCTTAGAAAAAACAATCTGAATTCATTGAATTATTTTAGTAACCATCTATTGGATCATGCATAACAATTAGCATTTTTCTTGTTAAATCCCATAAGTAAAATTTCTGGAATAAGAGGAATGTTCAAGTCTGCTTTGTTGGTACACGTCTGCTTTAGTTTAGGCTTGTTTTGAAAGTTTTGTGTTTTAGGCAAACAGATTAAAAGAAATTGTGTAGTAAATACAAATGTTGTCGGACTTTGAACAATATTTCTGAGGGGACACAGAACATAAATGCCTTAGTAATAACTGATGGAAATGTAGATATTCTTTATAAGGGATGATTGAATTCTCTGGCTTTTGCAATTCCGTGTCAGTTGGGTACCTGTGCACTTCTTTCTATGATGTACTGTGAATAGTTCACATACATTATTGCTTTTGTACCTGAAAATGTCATCAGAGTTGCAAATTTAGTTGCAACTGTTAAATGCTTTTTGCAGTTGAATTGCTATTGTAGTTTATTAGCTGGTTGAGTGGGCACTTTGTTCTGGAAGGAAAATTAGTATGTAAACCTAAAAGGTTTCATTAAAGGAAAACTGATGAAAGGTTGTTAACTCACTACGGATTTTGGTCAGTGAAGTGGAAAGGTTCATATACAGAGCACTACAGAGGTGGTCAAGAGCAGAGGGACACGGAACAGTGAGGAAACTGACAACGGTTTGACATTGATTTATTGCTGTATGAACTGTCATCTCACTTGAGTGACCTACTAGGTTATCTGTGCATTTAATTATAAAAGTCTTGACAATTGTCCAATTAAAACGAAGATGTCTGATAATTGAAATTTGATAGTGCATGCTCTGAACGCTGAGCATTCTCTTGCAAAGATAAGTTAGAGTAATCTGTACTGCTGATGACTTCCTGTATTTGTGTTTTGGTTAAAGAGTTGCTCACCAATATAAATGTAGCACTGCTTTAAACTGTAGATTACACTTCTGGAAAGAGGAAAAACTATGATAAAGCAAACTGAGTAGTGTAGTTAAGCCACAGTAGTTAACATAGGTTATAGATCCTATCTGGGCAATTACTGATTATTACCCTTGTTTTAGAAAAAGATATGAAACGATGTTAGGAAAAATTTTTGGCTTTAGTTGGTGTACTTCTGTTGGTGTTTCAAGTATCCTGAAACTGAATATTAAGAATCATAAAATCACCAAACATTGTGAAATCACATAACTGCAGGGCAGGTCTCATTTCATTGGAGAACGAGGTCATCAATGATCAGGTGACTGTGCCTTAGCCCAAGCTGTATCCCTTTTTCAGTGTTTATAAAGATAATCTTGGTCTTGCAGCATGGAAAAGTAAAGCAGAAGACTGGAGCATAGAACATATTCTGCCCAGATTTTGATGCCAAAATCTCAGTGCCATTAAGAGTGTTTTTTTTTTTGTTTTTTGTTTTTTTTTGTTTTTTTTTTTTTTTAAGACAGATCATGATTTCTTACAATCCTCACTAGTATGCCATTTAGTTATTTAAATATGCCACTCAAAAATAATGTTTTGGGGAGAAATACTGACCTGTGTGTTAAATAGTCTGGCATCTTCTATCAGATCTTACAATAATGTGTTTGTAGTCAACTTTGGAAAAAAATGTTTCTCTTTTCCAGGACAAAAGAAATTGCATTTGGAATGCAAAACCATCAACCTCACTGACTTTTTCCTCATAAATTTTTAATCTCTTGAATGATTGCAAATACTTAACCTTGATGAAACTTGGGCAACCATGTATGGTAAACTTGCATGACCAGAGTTTCATGGCTATGTGAAAATGATTTTAGAGCCAGATGCGTTGCATTTGAGCGAAATTGCCTGTTCCTCCTTTTACATTCAGTGCTCTCTGATTTCATAAGTATGTATTGGGCATCTTCTATGCATTTTTTATTCTCTTTTTTTTAATACATTTTTGAATGCTTTACAGTGGTAGCTAGAAGAATTCCTTGCAGAATGAATGCTCTT